TCAGACATTGATCTCATGGGTCTCCAGAAACTGCATCAGACCGGACCTTCCACAGAGCATGCAGCATGGCTTGATACGTTACTCTTGCTTCCAAGCATTGGGGAACGAGTTGCTGACTAATGGGACGGATTGGTGGTGCTGACAAGTCCAACTTCACAAGTTCACCTTCAACCGCACATGCACCACACTCTCGCACAACCAGCGGGAGCTGAAGCAATCCTTCGGACTGTCTGCTGTTGTGCTGCATCTCCAGGGGGTGGCAGATGCGGCTGGGACGCGAAGTCGTGGATTGAGTCCTAAGCTCCTAAACACTTTTGTAACCCCTTGACACGAAACTCGGGACTTGCTCCAGGCGAAGAGGCTCGCCTAGCAAAGGAGGAAGCGAGCCAGGCACGTGCCGGGAGTGCAAGAATTCAGGGCTCTAGCCGAAACAAGCACATCTTGGGAGTATCTGGGATCATCGCTCAAAGTCTAGTTGCGCACAGCACAGGCAGGCCGGATGAAGCATTCGCCTTACATGGCTTCGAGAAGTGAAATCCCTCGACGGGCAAGACAAACAATGTAGAGGCCTTAGCAATTAGCAAAGGGTTGTGTGGAGCTCGTGTTGAGTTAGAGGGAGACAATAAAAGGAAACTGTTACGAGTCGTTCCGACAGCTACATTACCGGGCAAAAAACGGAGCAGTTTGAAGCCCTACACAAGCCAAGAGACTCGAAGAAGCCAGGCAAACGCCCGGGCGGCGGCCGCAAGCAGGGCCTGGGGACGCTGAAGCAGGGGCCTTGGGTAGAATTCGTCCTATAAACCATCATATAAGTTCAGATATATGGAGCATTTTCGGGCACAGTAAGACAAGCGGTCGAAAACGACAGAGCCGCCTCATCACTGGGATCTCATGTTGTAGTAGCCGATGAGCGAAGAGGAAAGAGTACCTGTGGTACGTGGCCAGGCTGGTGAGGTGCACTGAGCGCTCTGCGAAGCGGCGCCGTTGTCCCGCATTTTCAAGGGGTTTGTTCCAGAGTACTTCGTAGATGCTGAAGATAGTCACGTCGGGATCTACCTACGTTCTATGAGCACATGAGGACTGTGGCCACTACAGCACGTCGTCGAGTCACAAGCAGCAGCACGGGCTACCATTGAGTCACTGCCTGTACGAGGCTGCCCCTATACCACAATTCATCCTTGATGCTTGGGTGATGGTGTCTGGTATCTGCATTTGTCCGCAAACATCAGTGAGCCTATTGATGTCGTGCATGACAGCAGAAAATCTGCGCTGGATGCCTGCATGCACTTCTTGCGTTGCTTCGCACAGCAAACCGGGTTGTGGACAGAGTGGCTTTCGAATACAAAGATCGGGTAGTCTGGAACTGTCCGCACTTCGGCGGCAGTCTTGCATACAGTGGCCACAGTAGAGGCATTTGTGAGAAGACTTTTCTGGAGCGTCCGAGCGCCGGAGTCTGAATTCAACAACCTAAAGCTCTTATCCATGACCACCTCGGCAGGTAAAGGCAGATGGAAATCAAAGTTTTCAAGCTATCCAAGAGCCTATCCATGGACAATGCATACATGCTCTTTACTCATGTTTGCAGGTACAGTAGGGCAGGCGATCAACAAAGAAGACTACGAGGCTAACCAAGGTGACTGCAACTAGTCAGTCTTTAAAGTTCCAATTACGATTATACAATTAATACGCCCCCCGAACCTATTCTAATCATGAAGGCGCCTAGATTAATCAGACTGCGGGACGATCTCTTCGCAAAGTCTACCCTAAAGCCCAAGCGGTTCAGGCTTCAAGGTTCAGGGTATAATTGCCCGGTGCGGGTTGCACAGGCGCTGGCCGGCACTTCAGTCCGTGCTGTAAAGGGAAAAGGGTATAATTGCAGCAATATCCGGGTTCGAATGCCCGGAAAGCCCAATTCCCCCTTAATTAGGGAACCCATCCTACATCCGAATATTGACTTGAGGCCCCGACAGCTCAAGATATTGCTGCTTTACTTTAGGGGTGGTAGGCTCTCCAGGAAGGTTTGCTGAAACCCGAAGCGGCGGGCGGAAAGGCTTGGCCCAGGTCAAGGATGATGTCTCAGGGATTGGTCAGGCAAACTTTCACATCTTTTGTGAACATATATACATGCTGTATGTACATATTTGTTTGTACGTGTATGTAATTGTAACTGTATGTAACTGTATGTGTATATATGTACATATTCATATATATATATATACACATACAAACCAAACAGAATAGAAAGATTATTTTTTGCTTCAGGTACCCAGCCCCTAAAGTGTTGTCAAAACGGCTCTGGGGCAATCCGCGTTTTGGATTTGGAGGTTCTGCTAAGGGATGCTGTCAAAAATTGAAGTGGTTGGCAAAATGACCAACACCGCTTCTCACGGTTCCCGATTATAACTCTGGCAGGCTGTGCCCCAAAACCGTTTTCTGCTCATACATGCCTCTTCATTACTTCAGGACTCTAAGGAGGCCGGGACGATGATGGGGGGAGTGTACAGGTAGCACTTGCTCGCAGGCACTGTGGATCTGTGGCGTGGGATGAGCAGGCGAGCATTGTTCGTTGTGTGTTTGGGGCCAGTCATTGCAGGTCTTGATCACAGAGGCTGCTGTGGAACCTGCACTCCTTATTCGTACAAGTACTGTGCTCTCATTTATCCTCTGCTGGCCAGCTAAACGGGATTCCTAAGAGCCCCAGGCAAGACCAGGTATTCCAACGTGACTTGTTTGAGGTACTTCAGCTGTGCTCCCACTTCTCGACTTGTTGCCGCAGGACCATCGAAATTGCCTTGGCTTTCGTCTGAACTGAGCCGCATCCGCTGCACTCACGGGGAGCCTATCCTCCCCTCCGTCCCGAGAGCCCAGACCCAGTTCTCATAGTATAGTCTCCTGAGTTGGTAGGATGAAAGTTGTGCCGATACTCTCCCTGTGTGCTACTATGCCGTGCCTGGGCGAGGCTTGGGTCAACCAGGAATTCCGCAAGTGCTGGAACCAGTTCCCCCTTCTCCTGTCACTCCTCATACTAATAGCTACGGCATGGGTTTATCACATGTCATGTCAGCTCCGCAAAACTAACGGATTAATTATCTGGAGTTCGGAGCCTTTTTATTTTTAAACTGTGAGAGCCGAAATCACAGTTCAAAGACACATCACGGTGATCATTCTGCAGTCGGCCCAGACCAGCCTGAGCACGTCTGGTGGCTTGGGCAGAAGCCATGTCCTCCTCGCTCCACTGCAGAGCATGCCACTCCCATGTCCACACGCGCTGTGTCGGAGTTTGTGGGAAGTGCACCTTGGCCACACGTAGCGAGAAAGAGTTTCCTCCCAACTCTGAGTCTGTCTGACCGCTTCCGAGCATGAGCAACCCGCTAATGAACCTTGCCGGGAAACCTGCACAGGCTGCTGCAGTATCGCTGGACCTCCTAGATGGATTCAGCGCGCAGGAGCGCGTACGTCTTGCCGAAGGCACTTATTGGCGCCCCTCGTCACGAGGGGAGCGCAGGTGCGATGAAGCATCGCGTGCTGCTACCGCAGGCTTGTCTCAAGCATGTTCTGGAGGAACAATCTTTTTGGTGCGGCTGCGGCCAAGGTCTAAATTGCGGTTTCTACAGACACAGAGGTTGCAGATGAATATCCGGTAGCACCTGCGCGCCAGCCTGCGTAGCTGCGTAGCTGCTCGGCAGACTTGTAGCCAAGGAGAAGTTTGGCTCTGGGGGATCATAGTCGCGAGGCAGTTCTAGCATGATCCACGCTGGAATTACGGGTCGGAAGAACTAGTCATACTATTTCTGATTGTAACTATACTCTAACTCGCACCCAAAACCAATTTTGTGTATTGAGCCCCCTGGATTAAGCTCCTTCCTTGGCTGTCACAGCAAGAAAGATCTCAGACTGCTTGCTAGCGTGGGAGCTCTGATCCGGCCTAGGGGCCGGTCCCAGCTCGAAGTTCGCTTAAACCCGAGGAAAAAGGGTTGGGGTGCATGACCATGCTATAGCTGTGAATATAAGGATACGTTTAAATACGAAGACAAATTAACGGGAATGTATATATACATATACAGATAGATAGAAAGATAGATCGATAGATCGATGGATAGATAAATAGAGAGAGAGAGAGAGTGAAGTATACATATAAGAATGACTGAAAAGATGCATATACATACATACATACATAC